AAGGCCCTGTGCTGGGCTCAAGCCCGCAGCTGGCTGGGTCCCCGCGAGGGCAGGCAGTCCGTGACTTTCTGTAAGGACACAGAAAAAAATGTGGGAAACGGAGGGACCTGACAAGGGAATGGGGGTGACCCCCTCCAACGGAGGTACTCACCTGCCCTTGTCCGCTGTGCCTTCACTTAGGATGGTGGTGAAGCCAGCAGGCAGGTGGGAAGAAATGGCTCCCAGCCCCAGCCCCCTGCCAGAGACCCCACAGGGGACCACAGGTGCCACCTTGAGGACAGGAGAGCTGCTGCAGGCTCAGTTGCTTAGTTAACCTGACTCCTGCAGTATGGGCCGGGGAACTGAGCACCATCTTGGGAATGTTAGGTTAGTGCCTTTAGTCCACACACCCACCTGGTGAGTGTTAGGACCTGTTTTGCAGACCTGGAGGTCCGAGAGACTGAGGAGTTTGGCTGGGGTGAAGTCCTGACTTCTGTGGGTCTCCTGGTCAGCAACCATCCTTCCTGAGCCTGTTTCCCCCGAGAATTTCTTGAGTAGGACTAGTTCCTTGTGGGAAGTAAATGAGCAGCATAGGTGGCATGTGGGAGAAAGCTGCCAGCAGGAATTAACTCAGCTGTACCATCTGTTAGTAGTATGACTACCTTGGTCTGCTCTCTATCGCTGGGACAAGACACCTGATACCCACAGTTTAAGGGAGGTTTGTTTTGGCTCACAGTTTCAGAGGTTTTGCTCCATGACCTGCTGGCTTCAAGGCTGAGATGTAATGGTGGTGGGGCTTAGGTGCACCTGTGCCTAGCATGAGACAAACATGGAAAAGGAATGAGTGGGAGGAGCAAATTACCGGAGACACTGAACTTAGAGCCCAGGGAAAGAGCCCCATCAGCAGAGGAGAAAGACGCAAGAGGAGCAGAGAACCTGAGAGATGGCATGGGCAACTGGAAGAGAGCATGGTGTCCAACAAAGGCCTGGAGAGTGGGCCCCTGTGCTTGGCTTCAAGAAATGTGTGGAAGTGTTGGGTGGGTGATTCCATGATCATATCTACCACTGAACAGCCATGAGGCAATTCCTCAAAGGTGAATTAATACAATAAACACATATAGATGATTTATCTGATAAATAATGCATTTAGGTTTTGAGTTTTGCTTGAAACAGGTTCTGACTATATAGTCTAGGCCAGCCTCGAACTCACTTTGTAACCTAGGGTGGCCACAAATGTGTGATCCTCCTGCTTCAGCCTGCCAAGTGGTTATATTATGGTATATGCCCCATACTAGCTCAACGCAGGTTTTGTAAATGACACTGACTAAAAAGCACATGATGAAATTTAGATGCCTGACTCAGTGAAAGTAATAGCTACAAGAGAACTCTCATGATGGTATTTGCATAGTCAGGAAATTTCATGTGGGAGAGAAATGGACTGAAGAGTTAAGTTGGTATGATAAAAATAATTTCATTGAAATGAAAATTGAAAACATCATTTAGTAACCATTTGAACAAAAAAGGAAATTGATTAGGAGTTAAGTTGGTTGGATAAAATTCACTGTTTTATTTTATTTACTTTTTGGTACTGGGGATTGAACCCAGGCCTTCACACTGAGCTACATCCCCAGAAGATAGGGTCTTGTCAAGCTGCTGTCTTGCCCAGCCTGGGTATATTCATTATCCTCCTGCCTCAGCCCCCTAGAGTGGTGGGATCACAGTCATGTGCTACCATGCCCAGTTTAAAATTACTCCTGGCAACACTTTCTTTTCTTTTCTTTTCTTTTCTTTTCTTTTTAACACTTTCTTAACAAAAACTTAACGGTGGCATAATTGTAATGAAAACTTGGTGTTAATGGCACAGAGTGAAAATGTCCAGTCAAGAGCACAGACCAGCCGAGACCAGACTAAAAAACTTCCTAAAATAGGTAATAGAAAGCAAGGCATGGTGGCGCATGCCTGTATCCCAGTACTGGGAAGGCTGAGGCAGGAGGATTGTTGGGAGTTCAATGCCAGCCTGGGCTACAAAGTGAGCTCAAATCCTGCCTGAACTGCACAGTGAGACCCTGTCTCAAAGACAAAAAAAAAAAAAAAAAAGCACAGACCAAAACAGGGACATGTCCAGGCTATGACATGAGTGGAGGCGCATTGTAGGATATCAGGAGCTGAAGAGTTGGTCTCCATTTGGACAGATTTCAAGATTCACTTGCTCAGTGGCCTTTAAGATATATTCTAATTCTCATTCTCTACAGTGTTTGTCCACAAGCATTTGTAGATATTTGTTTTTTCTTTAAAATGGTGAACTGCAATATAGATACGGAAAAGAACATGAAAACACATGTATACTATTTGATAAAAAAATTATAGAGGACATTAAAAATGATGGAGTAAAGACCAGTAGCAAAATACAGCCTCTCTGGGATATGGCATTGAGACATCGGGAAAGCAACAACTTAGTGAAGAAAAAAGTAGATCTCTGGGAATCAAAATAGCCAGGTGTGGTGGCATACACCTGTGATCTCAGCATTCAGGCTGAAGCAGTAGGATCACCTCAAGTTTAAGGCCAGCATGAACTACATAGCAGGACCTTGTCTCAAAAAAAAAAAGTGATTAGTCAGGAGCCATTCTGGGAAGAGGTTAACTGTTTAAGATGAGCTACTCCATAGAACTATGCTTTAGGATTTCCTGGGGCACCTGGCAAAAAAAATAGTTATAGAGAGGGTGCAGGAGCACAGGCCAAGGAGGATGTGGAGGCCCTGCCTTCTGTGATGAGAAGCTGGGCCAGTGGAGTATGGTTTTTAGAGCAGGCTGGGTCTGAAAGTGCTGGAATTAAGTCCAAAGTACTGCTTGACCCTTCCAGCCCACCCCTACCCACACTGCACACATACACATCCAGCATGGTGCTCAGAGGTTTCCCCACCAGTGTGATCAAGGATGACCCTCAGCTTGGACATTTGCCACAGCCTGGAGTATATGAACAGAAGGGCTTCTGGAGCAGGGGAGGAGGGCACTGTAAAGCTGAGCAGAAGAAAACAGTGACTTGGGAGGCACAGAGAGAGAGGAACAGCTGAAGTAAATACAACCCTAGGGTAGGACTCTTGACAACAGCCAGAAGAAAGCTAGGACAAACTCCAGATTTACACACAAAAATGTGAGTGTGGAAACAGTAGGTTTAGTAGTGACTCACTATCCCTCCTCCATATCTGGTGAATTGCAATACTTCAGGCCATGGAAAGAAACCACTCATTCAGATATATAGAGGAATTTTTTTGGACTCATTTCTCTTTCTTTGATGTTTTCTTTTTGGGTGGGGTTTCTTTTTCTATTTTTCTTTCTTTATTCTTATTTTTGTTTGTTCTTTTGTTATTTTTAATCTAATTTTATTTTCTTTTACTCCCTAATTGGATACTTTCACTTTTTTGCATCTTCCCCTTATTTTTCAAATTTTACTTCTTTCATTTTCCTCTTTCCCGCTCCCATTTCTATTAGTATGACTATTAAACTTTATTAATCTTTAAATTTTTTAGCTGACCACGCTATTATTGAATTCTTTCTTACTGTTAATGATGGTGTAGTTATGGCAGTTAGTAGATATTTACTGTATGTTAATATTTGGCTTGTCATTGTAACTATATTATTCTTTTGTCTTTTTGAGACAAGGCTTCACTATACAGTTCTGGCTGGCCTTGAACTTACTTTGTAGCCTAGGCTGGCCTCGAACTCGCAGGGATCCTCCTGCCTCAGCCTCCTAAGTGGGGGATTACAGGCATGCGCCACTAATCCTGGCTTTGTACCTATAGTATTATTATAGATCTCTTTTCTATTAAGAGTGGTACAGTACCACTGGTAGCCTTTATTAGTTCTTATAGTATCAATATCCAGTTTGTCTTTGGCTCAAAAAAAATTATGAATTGGTCACTTGAGTTGTAAGTCACCTCTCCATGTCAAGAAATACAAGAAATGCAAAGCCAGTGCACCTTCAGCTGGGTCGCAAGGGACTACCGACAGGAGGAGGATGGGGAGGTGCCAAGGCTGGGGCAACTGGAGCAGGGCAGAACTTCGCCCAGAGGGAGCAGAGGAGAAGGAATTCTGCCAGCCGACAGCCTTGGGGCTCAGGCTGCAGCTCTTCCTCAGATTCCCCAGCGTGCCAGCCCACCCTACAGATTGTGAACTTGCACTTTTACCATCCTTAAAACAGATCTTTTTTGTTTTTGTTTTTTTTTCTGGTACCGGGAATCTAACTCATGACCTCACGCTTGTCAGGCAGGCGCTGTGCCACTGAGCTAAATCCTCACCCCCTTAAAACAAATCTTTCTCTTTATCTGCTGGTCTTAGAGAGTAAAAGGAGGTCTGGCCGAGACACACACACTGATCATATAATCACATGCAAAACGAAATCCCAAACCTAAGGGAGTCCCCGCAGGGTCTTGCTTCCCGTGGAGCAAGCCCCCCTTGCGTGTCACCCTCAGAGCAAGAAACCACGCTGCTACTAGCTGGGACAAGGGGCTGGGGATTTAGCTCAGCGGCAAAGCGCCTGCCTGGCAAGCGCAAGGTCGTGAGTTCGGTTCCTGGTACCGGAGAAAAACCAACCAACCAAACAAACAAACATACTAGCTGGGACAAGCGTCAGGCAGAGGATCAGGGGGTATGGAAGGCCAACGGGGTGGGGCCGGCCACCAGGCACCGGCAGGCGGGACACAGCCAATCGCCTCAAACAGATGTCCATCCCCCGCGCTAGGTCAGAGCTTCTGAAAACTGGTCTGAACGGAAGAGAGCCCGCCCACCTGATCCCGCCGCTCCCAGCGTCACCCAATCCCCTACTGCTAGTTCGGCCCATACCATCCTCTTATCCAATCCCCGCGCCTGTTCCCGATTTACCACGCCCCCACTCCATCTTCGCAAGTCCGCTCTGGTCCCAGAGTCCCGCCCCTTCCCCCTGGTTAGCCAATCCCCGATTGGAGCCTCGTATGCCCCGCCCCTGTCCTTCTCTCACCCAATCCTCAAGCTGGTCTTCAAGCTCGTCGCGCCCCTTCCCTCCCGTCGCTCTGTCTTCGTGCGGTCCCGCTTCCGCTCGCTCGGGCCACTGGCTGTATCTTGTACGCCAGGTGTGAGGCCCTGGATATGGAGGAGCTGCTGAGGCGGGAGCTGGGCTGCAGCTCCGTCAAGGCCACTGGTCACTCGGGAGGCGGGTGTATCAGCCAGGGCCAGAGTTACGACACGGACCAAGGGCGCGTGTTTGTGAAAGTGAACTCCAAGTCGGAGGTAGGGCCGCGGCGGCGGGCTCGCGCCCGGCCGGGGTACTGGTCGTGCCGGTGCTGCGCTGGAAAAGTCCAGCGGCCCCTGAGCGGCGGTGCCTTTGCAGATGGGACTCGCCCCTGCTGTGCTTTCTCCTTTCCTGCGGAAGCGTTCTTGCGAGTGCCATTTTCTTTCTTTCTTTTTCTTTTCCTTTTTGTGGTGCTGGGGATCAAACGCAGGGCCTTGTGCATGCAAGGCAAGAGTTCTCCTGAGCCTCATCCTCAGTCCCCATTGAAAACTGCCGCTGTCCACCCGGAAAGGTCCCTTCCTTCCTGCCGCGCGGTGATCTCTCTGCAGCGCCCCAGACCGGCCCGCGTCCTAGCCTAGAGAGATCCTCCACATTTCTTGTACAGGACTCTGTCAGCTGTTTGTCCTTGAAGTTACTCGGAGAGACGTGCCCCGAGCACCTGTGCTCACTGCAGCTGTCTGCTTTGGTCTGTTTGTGCATCCTTTAAGCGGCGTCCATCCCTTATACATCTCTGTATTTACATCTTCCCTGGCGTTTGCGGTCGTTCAAAGCTTGGCAAGGAGTAGGGGGAAGCTGATATTTTCGACGGATTAAAGTGAACCGCCTACTGATGCTTTTCATCTTTTCGGTGCTGGGGATTGAACTCAGCGCCTTTGTACTGAGCTGTATCTCCAGCCCTTTTTAAATTTTTCATTTTGAGACAGGGAAAATGCTAAAATGCCTAGGTGGGGGGCTGGGGATATAGCTCAGCGGCATAGCACCAGCCTGGCAAGTGCAAGGTCCTGAGCTCGATCCCCAGTTCCAAAAAATAAGTAAATAAAAAATAAAATAAAGTGCCGGGCGGGGGTGCCTCAAACTTCAGATCCTTCTGCCTCAGGTTCCCAGAGTGCTGGAACTGCAATTTCTTTCTTAATCCCTGCTGGAGTTGATGTGGTGCAAGTTGTTTTTCCTTTTGATCATTCTTATCTCTGCCTTGCATTCTTTTCTTTCTTTCTTTCTTTCTTTCTTTCTTTCTTTGTCTCTCTCTGTCTTCCTTCCTTCCTTCCTTTCTTTCTTCCTTTTTTTTTGTTTTACTTTTTAAAAAAGGTAAGACAATTAATTTTAGCTTTAATTTTTTTTTTTTTTTTTTTTTTTTTTTTTTTTTTTTTTTTTGGTACTCAGGACCTTGCGCTTGCTAGGCAGGTGCTTGTGCCCCTGAGCTATGTTCCAAGCCCGACAGAATTAATTAAAAAAAAAAATCTAATTAAAAAAAATGCTGAGACAGAATTTTTTAAATAATAGAATAGCCGTAGTTAATATGTTGCATTTTGTCATCTTCAAAGTAGTTAGTCAGAGTACAAGATATAGGCATAAAAAATTCTCCAGTTGATATTAGCATGAACCTTTTCAGTGAACTAAGAGACGCTAATGGTGTAGCATGCTTTCTTTCTTTTTTTCTTTCTTTCTTTCTTTCTTTCTTTCTTTTGAGACAGGGTCTCACTATGTAGTTCAGGCTAGGCTTGGACTTATTATGTAACCTGGGCTGGCCTCAAATTCACAGTGACCCTCCTGTTTCAGCCTCCTGAGTGCTGGGATTACAGGAGCCCTTGAATACTTGTGTAATTGGTTTTCTTACATACTTCTCCCTTAGATCTTTTCTAGATTTTTTTGTAGCACTGTTTCTCAACTGATGCTTGATTTTACCTTGTGGTAAAATAATCATGAGGAATGGTGCACCTAGCTTGGTTAGAAACTTCAGGCAGTGTAACACTGAATGTTCTTGTGAGGAGCCTTGACCTGTAGCTATATTCACAGGTCCTCTCTTTTTCATCTCTCCCTGTTTTGTGTTTTGTTTTGTGTTACTGGGGATTGATCAAAACCCAAGGACTGCGAATATCCCCAGCCCTTTTAAATTTATTTTTTGAGACAAGGTCTTGGTAAGTCTCTAAGTTGCCAAGGCTGTACTGGTTGGTATTTTCATTCTACCTCAGCTTCCCAGAGAGTTGGGATTATAGGTGTATGCTACTCTGTTCTCGGCATTTTTTTTTTTTTTTTTTTTTGTCTTTTTGAGACAGGGACTTGCTATGCAGTTTAGGCTGGCCTTGAGCTCACTTTGTAGCCCAGGCTGGCCTCAAACTCACAATAATCCTCCTGCCTCAGCCTCCCAAGTGCTGGGATTACAGGCGTGCACCACCACCCCCGGCACTCTCGGCATTTTAAAAAATACTAATTCTTACGTTTTTCTCCATAACCATTATCCTAAGAAGAGTATAGCCAGGGCTTTTTTTTTTTTTTTTTCCCCTTTATCTTCTAAAAAGGATACTCTGAAAGCTGTGCTTAAGAAAGCAGTCCATAGCCGGGCATGGTGGCAGATGTCTGTAATGCCAGCACTCTGGAGGCTGAGGCAGGACATCTGAGAGTTCGAGGCTAGCCTGGGCTACATAATGAGTTTAAGGCCAACCTGAACTGTACAGTGAGACCTTGTTTTAAACAAAACGAGAGAGAGAGAGAGAGGGAGAGACAGAGAAAGACAAATTAACTAGTTTGGAAAGTGAGGGAAGACTTGTTCTTTGGAAAATTGATGTTAAGCTGATATTTGAAGCATGACTAGAGAGGATCTGACTTGGCAAAGAGACTGGTGAATAGTGATCCAAGCAAAAATGACATTGTATGGAGGAGTGTTTGGGCCTGCAAATGAAAGACCTTGAGGAACTAGCAACTAAATAAGGATGGAACATGGGCACAAGGAGCGTGTGTGTGTGTGTGTGTGTGTGTGTGTGTGTTTGCATGTGCATATACACATGTATGTAGGGGAGAGCCTGGGCAGGGCCCCACATGCGGGTGGAAATTGTGAAGAGGGAAAGGTTGCAGGCTTTGGGTGCACCCACAGTCAGATTGGCCTTGGAGAGGGACCACTGCAGTGTGGTGAGCAGGGTGACCCAGTGGATGGAGTCACTGCAGTCTGGGGGACGAGGATGGAAATGGTTGAGATGAGATAGTTTCCAGTGTCAGGTAGGACGTGGCACGGAATTCAGTGGTCTTCTTAGATGAAAGTGAGCCCAGGTTCCTGGCATATGCAGAAGGAGAGCCATCTGCATCTGAAGGTCCGGGCAAAGCTTGTGTCCTGTCTGTGGAACAGGATTGTGGTTGCAGTGTTGTCCGAGAATGGGAGGGGGAGTGAATGAGCGAGAGAACGAGAGACAGAGAGAATGAGAAAGAGAACACCACAAACAGTCTGGCTGTGTCCTGCGCACTTAGGGGAATACTTACAGCCTTCTACTTTCCTCTGAATGGAGAGCCTTTGAATTCAACCATAACATAAAAATATGCTCCAGTACTAGAAAGTACAAGCCTTCTTACTCCTACCCAACTTCAGCATTTCCATCCCATTCTACTGCCAACAGCTTGGAAAACCATCCATGCCTGTTGAGTCCTCAGTCCAGCATTCTTGGTTTGAGTTTGTTTTGCCAGAAGAAAACATGTCTACACCAAATCTTTCCAAAGTGACCTTGCTCTCCCTCTCTGCTCTCTTCCTCTTCCATTATTTTCTGACAGGCTAGAAGGATGTTTGAAGGTGAGATGGCAAGTTTAATTGCCATTCTGAAAACAGACACAGTGAAAGTGCCCAGGCCTATCAAGGTCCTCGATGCCCCGGGAGGTGGCAGTATGCTGGTGATGGAGTACCTGGATATGCGATACCTGAGCAGGTCTGTCCCTACTTCATCCCCCTGCTTTGTTTTCCTCTGTGTGGTTCTTCTACTCCTTAAGCTTCTACTTGGGGGTGTAATTTTGAGGAGTATGATATCAAGAAGCCGTGATTGTATACGTGACAGATTCTGCCAAGTGAGTGGCATGTACTGTGCACATCAGAGGCCAAAGAGAAGCTGGGTGTGGTGGTATGTACTGTAATCCCAGCACTGAGGGAGGCTGAGTCAGGAGGATCACAAGTGTGAGTCCTCCCTAGGCAATTTAGTGAGAATTTAGTGTCTCAAAATAATAAAACGGGCTGGGGATGCAGCTCAGTGGTAGAGCACCATTGGGTTTGATCCCCAGTACAGGGTAGGGGGGTGGCAAGGAAGATACTGTCAATATGAGATGAAGACAAAGAACCCAGCTGCAAAGTCAAATGAGGCTGGGAAAGACTGCAGCAGTCAGACCTTTCATCTCACTCTTGCTCTGAGAGAATGGATTTTCTACTCCTAGAATGCATGACCTACTGTAGGTGCCCTGAGACCTGCCGGATAGATATGTATCTGTAGGTTTTCTGTCATCTGTTTAATTGCTGTTGGATTCACAGTCACGCTGCAAAGCTTGGGGAGCAGCTTGCGGACCTGCATCTTCAGAACCAGAAGCTGGGAGAGATGCTCCGGAAGGAGGACAGCACAGTAGGTGAGGGGCTAAGAGGGCCCCAAGGAGGACACACAGCAGGACAGGCTCAGGTCTGGCCTTCTGCTGCTTCCTGTGAGTTGGATCTGTGCAGATATTTAGCAGAGGAATCTCAGCCCTAAGGCTGGATGTCGCCCCTGTCATTGCAATGGCAAGCAGAAACACCAAAACGACACCCAGGATGTGGAGGCAGATTTATTTAATGTCTGATGGGCACTGAACTAAGAGTCAGTTCTTACTCAAAATGTCAGGCCCTGATCTCTGGTAGCTTAGGGCTTATATGGGAAAAGCAAGCAGGAAGTACAGAGGCAGAATGGCTTGTCAATTAGGGATTGGTTCTTAAAATATGCATCATAGTGACCAGCCATTTCTAAGAAACAAAAGTAACTGGAACTGGAACTGTTACGTGGGCAACTAACAAACTGAAGTATACTGGCTGGGGGTGTAGTGGTGCATCTTCTGCTATATTCTGAGCAAAAGGAGTGCAGTTAGTGTACAGTTTGATAAAGCACTTAGGAGGCAGGAAATATTTGGTAGACTCAAAATCTGACAGTATTACTGTTGCTTTTACTTTTGTCCGGAAGGGAGTTGAATCAAAGGTTTTTTTGCTTTTTATACAAAGTTCTTAGCCAGGGCGTGGTAGCATCGTCTGCAAACCCAGCACTCAGAGGCTGAGGCAGGAGGATCACCATGAGTTCAAGGCCCGCTTGGGCTAAATTAGTGAGTTCAAGATCAGCCTGCAACTACATGGTGAGATCCTGCCTCAAAACAAACAAAAAAACAAAGTCCTTTAAATACATTGTCTTTTCTTCTGAGTACCTTCTTGAGGTTCAGAATGACAAGCCCCAACTGTGTGTTCTCTAGAGGTTGGTGTGCTATTAACAGTGAGGTATTTTTCAGTATTTAATCCATCTGTAGCTTGTGTGCTGACTCTGCTAGATAGAGTGGCTGACAGTCAAAAAGCAGATCAGCAGGATCTGCATGTAGCAGAATCTACGTAGCACAGGATCTGTGCTTGGTAGGAGGGTCTACTGACAGGCCCCATTAGGATGCCTTCCTGTACCTGCCAGGCTCAGGCCATTTGGAATTTTCTTTGAGTCTTGGGAGCTGCACAGGGTTGAGACCGTTTCATGGTATAATATTTTCTCAATACCACTGTGTTGGCCACTGGAAACTATCCTTTCCTGATGGATTATGAGATAGGTTTGTTTTTTTTTCCTATCCAGAAAACATCATCCATTTTTTTTTTTTTTTTTAATACATTGTTGTCTACCTCCCCTTGCCCTAATCCTCTGGTCCTACTTTGGGGACAGCTGGTATCCTTGTACTAAGTCTGCCTGGACAGCCTTTGTTCTACGTGACCTGTGGATTAGTAGAAACTGAGGTCCTGGCTTGCTGAGTGATCATGTGAGCTGATAAGGACACAGTGAGACCAGGCTCTACGCAGCTTGAGCTCCAAGAACTGGGCCCAGGGTCTCCTGAAGCAAAAGCATTAACTGTTCCTCTTCCATTTTGCCTTTTGTTTGCCAGGGAAAGGAGATGGGCAGGCAGAATGGCACTTTGTGGACCAGTTTGGGTTTGATGTAGTGACCTGCTGTGGATACCTCCCCCAGGTAAGTGACACAGCCACAGCTGTTCAGACACAGTGGATGTGCAGGGAGCACCTTTTTTTTCTATGAGATTGGGTTTTTTGTTTTGTTTTTTGGGATAGGGTATGCTATATAGTCCAGACTGGCATTAAGCTCACTATGTAGCCTAGGCTGGCCTCACATCTGTGCCAGTCCTGCCTTAGCCTCCTGATGATAGGCCTGGCAATTCTGCAAAATCTTTGCACCCTTTTTTTCTTTGCCACATTTTAAGGTGATAAAAGGTTTACTCACCTTACATGCTAGATAAACACAGAGAAATGGAGAAGGACCAAGTTAGGATGGCTGCATTTAGGTGGGTTGATTTTTTCGGGGGATAGGTACTGGGAATCAAACTCAGGACCTGGTGCTTGCCAGGCAGGCACTGTGCCACTGAGCTATATCCCCGGCCCAATTTTTTTTTTTTAAAGACAGGCTTTCACTAAGTTGCAAAGGCTCTCCTTGCAACACTCTGTGCTTCAGCTTCCCAAATAACTAGAATTACAGATATGAGCCACTATGCCCAGTTTAAAAGTTAGAAAATTTAGGCAGGTGTGGTGGTGCGTGCTTGTAATCCTAGCCCTTGGGAGGTTGAGGCAGGAGGATTACCATGACTTTGAGACCTGCTTGGGCTATGGTAGTGAGTGCAAAGTCAGCCTGAACTATATAGTGAGACCCTGTCTCAAAAAACAAAAACAAAACAACAATAACAAAAGTTAAAAGTTAGAAAATTCAAAAAATATTTCACTTTAAATACATAACCTGGGGCTTTCAGCTCTGAAGTCCCACTGCCACTTCATCATAGCTGTCTATCCTCTTTCTTTTCTATCTTTTTCCTCCAATAAACCATCTTCTGTTATACTAAAAAAAGTTAAAAATAAAAATATAACCTGCCTATGCAGATTCAACCAACTGCAGATTGAAAATATTTGTGAGAACACAGTGTTTATACTGAATACATGCACATCGTTTCTTGGTGTTATTTTCTCAACAATACAGTGCAACAAGTATTTACATAGCATTTACATTGTATTAGGTCTTAGAGGCAATGTAGAGATGATTTAAAGTATAGGCAATGTAGGAATGTATAGGAGGATGTATGTAGATTACATGCAAATTTTGTGTCATTTTATGTAAGCATTTGAACGTCCTCACATTTTGGTATGAGGGTGGTCCTGAATCTAATCCTCCACAAATACTGAGAGACAACTACTAAACAGCCCTTTCTAAAGTTTTATTTAGAGACAAGGTCTCACTGAGTATCTCAGGCTAGCCTGAAACTTGTGGTCTTTCTGCCTCAGGCTCCCGAGTACGGTGGATCCTTGGATGGTGTTTTTTTTTTTGTTGTTGTTGTTGTTTTTATGGTACTGAGCTATACCCTTAGTCTCTTCCTTTTTAGAAAAATTTTGAGATAAGGTCTTGCTAAGTTGCCCAATTTAGGCTTAAACTTGTCATCCTCTTGTCTCAGCCTCTCAGAGTGCTAGGATTACAGATGTGTGCCACCAGGCCCAACTTTGGGGTCTTTTTGAACAGGAGTCCACATGCCCCTTACTATTACCATTCTGTGGAAGAGGGCCATCTGTGGCCAGGCAGATGGTCAGCAGTGGGCCTTGGGGTCAGGGGAGGTCAGATGGCTCTGGCCTCTGTCAGCGTGAATGTGATGGAAAGTAAACGTCCTAGTGTTCTTCATTCTTGGGAGGCTGCAGAGTGGGCCCTGTGGATCCCTGCTTCCCACTACTCCTGGAAGGTCTTAGCCTGTCCTTAAGACCCCTTGGTGCTTCCTGGTCAGCTTGCACTCTTCAGCTTCCTGTGGTTACCACCCCACCCGCATGCTGTCCCCACGGCCCTTTCCACTTGGGATGCTTCTCAGCATTTGCGCCCTCCCTGCCTTGCCTTCTCCTTTGCTGGTGCCATGCAGGTGAACGACTGGCAGAAGGACTGGGTCAAGTTCTACACGCAACAACGCATTCAGCCTCAGATAGACATGGTGGAGCGGGGTTCCGGAGACCGGGAGGCCCTCCAGCTCTGGTCTGCTCTGCAGGTGAGCAGGGCCCTGCTGGGCAGCCAGGTGCCAGCAGCACGTCCCACTCGGCCCTGATGTGGGGGAGGTGCCAAGGCAGATGTGCCACCTCTGAGCCTGGTTCTGCACAGGGCACGGGTACCCATCAGTGAGCCAGGCGCACCTGAGCGCAGTGCTGCTGCTTGGGTATGTGGAGCAGCGCTCAGGTAACATCTGTGTCCCTCAGCGTGTGTCACCACTGTGCTAAGCCTCTGTCCTCCTCCTACAGTTGAAGATTCCCAGCCTGTTCCGTGATCTGGAGATTGTCCCTGCCTTACTACACGGAGACCTCTGGGGAGGGAATGTGGCAGAAGATGCCTCCGGGCCCATCATTTTTGACCCAGCTTCATTCTATGGCCACTCAGAATATGAACTGGCGATAGCTGGCATGTTTGGGGGCTTCAGCAGCTCCTTTTACTCTGCCTACCACAGCAAAATCCCCAAGGCCCCGGGCTTTGAGAAGCGCCTGCAGTTATATCAGCTCTTTCACTATCTGAACCACTGGAACCATTTTGGATCCGGCTACAGAGGGTCCTCCCTGAACATCATGAGGAATCTTGTCAAGTGAGCTGCTTTCCATGGAGGGTGCCATCTCCGAGCAGCATCCTGAGGCCTCCGGTTCAGGGGCACTGGTCTGATCTGGTCTGCTCTGGTCTGCTCTGGTCCGGAACTTGTTGTTGCTCCGTCTCCAGCCTCATAAATGCTTCCTGTTGTTGCTCAGGCCGACCTCAAGCCTCGTGAGGAGTGGATATCTCAGGAGAGCCTATGTTGTCCTGAAGTTGTACATTGTTAGGTTTTATGGCCAGGTGAGGCCATGCTGATGTGAACAGAGAGGCCCCCGAAGCCTGGAGCATGGAGCAGGAGCGGCTGCAGGTCGTGTGGTGCCCAGGGTACCTAGCTTTTCTTCCCTGCTTCTGGCTCCACTCCTGGGCATCTCAGAGACCTGAATCCAGACATGGAACCATCTTGCTAGAAACTGTTAGAAGTGACAATTTCCAGATCAAGTACATTCCCTTTCCTTTGTACCTGACCACTGGACCTAGCTGTAGGCTGGGCAGGTCAAGCAGCATCCTGGGAGTGACCCAGCTGCCAGCCCTTGGTGTGAGCTGAGTACAGTCAGGAGCCTTGAATTGTTCTTCTTATTCCTCCATCTCATGTGCAGTTTTCTAAAGCTGACTGAGTTGTCATTCCTTGGCAACAGATGAGTATTGAACTAATATCTTTTCTCTCCTTCATTCTGTACTGATGAGAAATTTTACAAATACCACTGATGCTAATAAATCATTTTGCCTAAAAATTTGAATAAACTTTCAGTGGTTTCAATGGTACCTGAGACTATGTGTTTCCCCGCTTGTTATAATTCAACATTATCTGGGGATTGAACCCAGGGCCTTTGCATTGAGCTATATGTCCCCAGCCCTTTTTATTTATTTTTATTTTGAGACAGGATCTTCCTAAATCAGTAAGTTGCCCCTGGGTTTGAACTTGTGATCCTCTTGCTTCAGCCTCCCAGAGTGGCTGGGAGTATAGGTGTGTGCTGCTATGCCAGGCATAACTGTTGTCTCTTTAAAGAATGACTTTTAAGGCCAGGCATGCTGGTGCACACCTGTAATCCCAGCACTTGGGAGGCTGAGGCAAGAGGATTGCTGTGAGTTTGGGGCCAGTCTTGGCTACAAAGTGAATCCAAGACCAGCCTGAACTGCACAGTGAAACCCTGTCTCAAAAAGACCAAAAAAAAAAAGACTTTTGGACAGGACACAGGACACTACTCTGTGTTGGCACAGCATGGTGGGTGGTGAGAGCAGAGGCTGGAGCACTCCCAAACTATTCTAGGACAGAGGTTTTGGTCTTCAGCAGGAAGTAGGTTTCTCTTCCTAGGTAGTATGGACAGCTGCAGCTTAGGACAGGCTGTGTGTGGGTGAGGAAGTACAAGGAGAAAGCGTCCCAGGTATGGTGGGCACTTTGCTGATAAAACTGGGCTCTGTTTCTCAGATTTTGTGATAATGTGATATTTGTAGCTTCTTAAACTTTGTCATTCATTGCAGTTGCTCGTCCTACTGATTTTGTATTTATACATATAACACAACACAAACATGTACTTTTTTTTTCAGTTATCAGAATCATACAAGCTTTAGGCCTAGACATCCCTGCATATCTCCAGCATTACTTCTGTGACCGAGCTCCTGCGAGAGGCACAGGATTATAGGCGTGTGCCACAGATCTTTCCAAATAGTATTATAATCCACACACTAGGACAGTCACCCTACTGATTCCTTAAGAGACTCACCATATGACGGTCCTGGCCCTGAGTGGTCAACAGTTCTTAGCTCCACAATGAAGGACTTCCTGCCCTGTGCCTGCCTCGTGTGTCTGACTCACCCAACTCTTCATTCACACTCTTCTGATAGCTGAGGCCAGAGCATGACACTGGACTGTCCTTGAGCTGTGAGAGAAGGTATCACTGGGCTGTGAGGACCCTGGGGTAGGGGGAGGGTTCCTTCCTGAAATGACCCTAACAGCGGCCATACCCCAAACACCTCCCTGGGGCATTTCCAGTTTGTCTATTTACAAGGGTCCTGAGTGGGTATTCACAATGACTTAATTATAATTTACATTATCAGTATTTTAAGTATCAATGTCAATAATATTATTTACTTATAAACTATTATTATTTTAGAAATCAGCACTTGGGAGGGTGAGGCAGGAGGATTGCTACAAGTGTGAGATCAGCCTAGGTTAAAAAGTGAGTTCAAGGCCAGCCTGAACTGCATGGTGAAACCCTGTCTGAAAAATACCAAAGAAGGGCTGGGTATATAGCTCACTGACATAGTGCCTTGCTTGGCAAGCACAAGGTCCTGTGTTCGATTTCCAGTGCTAAAAAAAAAAAAAAAACCTAAAGTAAATATGTTCACCTGTTGATGCTCTTACCTGGGGCTTCGTTTTGAGTTAGGACTTATATTTGAGTATCCCGGGGGAGGGGGGGGGAAATCACGCTAGGGCTTATTTTCGGGGATATACGGTAGTTCAGTGCAAGGGCTTTGTGTTCAGTCTCTTGTACTGCACAAAACAAATAAAACAAAACAGACACCAAAAAACTCTTAAGTAAGTGGTGCTTCGACCCGATCTTTTCCCCTGAGCTCGGCTCTTTGTGACGGAGAAGCACCTCGCCATAGGCTGAGCAGAGCAGAGCGGCAGGGCCCCAGGGGAGGGTGGGGGATGGGGGGGAACCCCCTCCCCCCCTGCAGCACCGCGCATGCTGCTGTGAGGTTCGGGTTCTTGCACGCCCGCCTGTGTTCTGGAGCCAGCTTATCTGTGGCTTGGACCCCACCTAAGGTGGGGTTGGTCTCTGCTGTCATGGTCCCAAGAACCACCATTATCACTCATGGACACAAGCGCCGGGTCATTGACGCCGCCCCCAAGTCCCACCCTTGACTGGAAAGTGAGAACCTAGTCACGCCCTAGGCTGGGGGGCGGAGCAGCTAAGGCCTCCGCTGTGTCCTGTGCCGGGGTGGGGGTGTCGGGGCCCGGCTCCGCATCTGTATAGGGGCTGCTGGCTCTGTAGGTGGCGTGTGACGAGGTCTAGATGTGCGCGGACTGTTGGGCACGCCGTGTGGACAGGGGACACCCGCTTCTGTGTCGTCCCCACTTCTGGAGCAGCCGGGAATAGGGCTGGGGTCCCACTCCCCAGGAGTACGCAGGGCTGGAGCAGGACAGCTGTCGGGGCGCAGACCTAGAGTGCTGTGTGCATGAGCCCGGCTGTCACCAGCCGCAGAGGCCCGCGCGTCGGGAGCGCGCGTCGGGAGCGCGCCCCAGTGTGGCCGCGGACAGGCGCACAGGCTGCCCCTAGGTCCAGCTGCTGCCTCGGTCCCTACCTCTGCGCCCCGGGTCCCCGCGGCTCTGGTCACTGTCTCCGCGGGCCCAGTCGCCGCCCGTGGCCCCTGTCACCGTCCCCAAGCCCTGTTCCCCTGAGCCCGAGCTCATGGAGCAGCTGCTGCGCACTGAGCTGCGCACCGCGACTCTGCGGGCCTTCGGGAGCCCCGGGACGGGCTACATCAGCGAGGGCCGAGCCTACGACACGGATGCCGGGCCCGTGTTCGTCAAGGTCAACCGCAGGACGCAGGTGTGCTGTGGCGACGGGGGCAGGGGGGCGTCGCCAGGGGCTGCACCGCGGAGCGTAGGCAAGAGACCCCTGGAGGCCGGAGGTTCTGTTTTTGCTGCATAAGCAGTGTCCTTCCCTGGATCCTATCAGTTTTGTTTTTTGTTTTGCGGAACTGATGATTGAACCCAGGACATTCGCACAGATCTCTAGCCTTTCTATTTTAAGACAGGGTCTCACTAAGTCGCTTAATGGAGCAGGCG